GGGCGAGGGGGCGCAGCCAGGCCGGCCCTGGCTGTGCCCCCCTTCATCTGCGCCTGAGGCGAGTGCCTCACTCGCCCCCTGGTGGCTGCAGCCCTGCTGGAAGTGGGCAGATATAGATGGATATAGGTCCTCTTACATCAAAGCCAGTACTTTGAACAATATGGTGTGCTGGTGGGACATTCAGAATGACACCACGGCGTACCAACGCGCATAGCGTGCGTTACTACAAAGCAACACTGTACATCAGTGGTCTCAAAGTACCGTCCCTTGGGCCAGTTGCGGCCCGCGAGCCGGTACTAAGTGGCCCGCAGCCCGCTCACAAGTCTGGTACACGGTCACGAACCACGTACCAGACTTGCGGGAGTCATCTGTCGGATGCAGAGAGCATAGCTGCTTCTGTGCCGGCACTCGGATCTTTTAGGCCGGAGTCTTCCCTAAACGCCGGCCGAAAGGATTGATTAGATTAGTAATGTCTGCAGCAGACATTACTAATCGCCACTAGATAAACGGATCGGTGATCGTGGCGCCGCTCACAGCCTCCTCCCTGCAACAAGGTAAGCCGGAGAGGAGGCTGTGTATTTAATTTACAGGTGGGTGAGTGTGCGGTGGGGGAGTAAGACTGGGAATGTTATTATTATATGTGGGGGGTGTTTGGGGGGACTGGGAATTATATTGTGGACTGGGAATTTTATATATGCGTGTGTGGGGGTATTTTTTCATGTGTATACGTGACAGCGGCCGTGTGTAAACATCACATTAGGGATTCCTGCTGCAGGAAAACGCAAGTTTCTGACGCAGGAATCCCTAATTGCACCTAAACCTACAGATATGAATGGGGCCTTATTGTGTGTATTGGGGTCCGTAGTACCATAATCACATATAGTTAGATGTTATTTTAAAAGGAGAACTATGTGGTAAGTGCTTTTCCCCATAGTTCTCCTCAGGGTCACGTGAGGACATAAACTGGCGTCCTCTCATGACCCAAAGCTCAGTATACCGCGAGCTACAGCTCATGGTATACTGAGACCTCCGCTGCCAGGAGGGATCCCGGCATTACTGTCCCCCCAGCTGCGTGATTGACAGCTGGCTCTGCCTATCTAGAGTCAGAGCCAGCTGTACCCGCCCTCTCCCCCGTTCGTTCCTCCAGTCAGTGCTGGAGGATCGGAGGGGGGATCCCTGCAGGGAGCCGTGAGTGACAGTCACAGCTCTCTGCAGGGACAGGGTAGAGAAGTGAGCGAGCGACGGTATGCGTTCGCTCACTTCTCGATCTATTGAGCCGAAGTGTGACAGTTTCATTGTCACAGGTCGGCTCAGATTATGAGGTTGAGTGAAAATCACTCACCTCATAGTTCTCCTTTAAAGTTTGAAATTTGTCGAGCAGCCCCCATGGGAGAAAAATTTTTGTCGAGTGGCCCTCGAGGGAATTGAGTTTGAGACCCCCCGCTGTACATCCTGCCTATAGAACTCAGAAGCATTATTTGATTTGGACAATGAGCCATCCGTGTGTTCCTTCCATGCGGGGCTGGGAACGGGCGCTACTTCTAGGACTCATTTTACTGACTGCAAGCGTGTCTGGGAACAACGAGCGCGCACAGTTGCACATTCCTAGTTTAGCTCAATTAACGTTCCCGCAGCAAGGGTCGTTTTACATTCGGACTTATTTAGAAGACAAACGTGGGTGGCCGGCCCAATGGCCCCCCCGGGTGTGATCTCTCCCCCTACAATATAATTAGTTACAACAAAAGCAGAAAAGTACCGGGGTTTGTAGTAACGCACGCTATGCGCGTTGGTACGCCGTGGTGTCATTCTGAATGTCCCACCAGCACACCATATTGTTCAAAGTACTGGCTTTGATGTTAGAGGACCTACATCCATCTATATCTGCCCATCCGGTAGGTCACAATCCCTTGAAGAAGCCAAGTCGTGAAACACGTAGGGATTTGACCTACATAATGTATTTGATCCAAAATGATTATGTCCAATATGTCCAATAGGTGAATGCACTTGGTCTAAACATTGTTTTTTAGAATTAGTTACAATCGATTGTTGCCTTTTTATTCCTGTATGTATATTTACAACATAGGTGTTATTTAAAAATAAAACTTTTCTACCAAACTTCAAGCCACGGTGTCATATCTCTCACAAACCCCGGTACTTTTCTGCTTTTGTTGTAACTAATTACATTGGGACTTATAGAAGTCGTTCTGCGGCCACGAAGGGGTTAGAAGCGGCATGTGGGCCATCTGATTGTGACTGAGGCCAATATAAGGTGCAGGAACAGCCCCAGGAATAAACATATATAGCAGCTTCGTCCATATATCGGCGCTGTAATCCGCCAGGTATAATTAGACGGTGCACATGGAGGGCCCGGCGCAATGCGTCAGAAGCACGCTCTGCAGATTTCCAGGCATGCAGAGTATCTAGGATTGCCACCTTTTCTTCAAGTTAAGCCCGAACACTCTAGCGTGGCACGTGGCAATTTTAAATTTTGGGGGGAGAATATAGAGGCGAGAGCGAGAAGAGACAGCCAGGGGAGGAAGTAATGAGTCCAGCTATAGAGGACTACAAATCCCAGCAATACATTATACAATAATACAAAACTCTGCTGTTCAGGGGTGGCGCTCTGATGTCTCCAGGGTCTCAGGTGGCTTGTTCGGGCTCTCAGGTGGGCTGTGCAGGCTTTCAGGAATTCTGTGCAGGTTGTGCAGGTGGGCTGCGCGGACTCCCGGGTGGGCTGCGCGGACTCCCGGGTGGGCTGCGCGGACTCCCGGGTGGGCTGCGCGGACTCCCGGGTGGGCTGCGCGGACTCCCGGGTGGGCTGCGCGGGCTCTCGGGTGGGCTGTGTGGGCTATGCAGGCTTTCAGGAGTTCTGTGCAATGTCTCATCAGGGTCTGGAGGCAGACAGGGTGGTGTCAGGAAGACAGGAGGATATGTGTGGGCCAGCGCCTATTTACAGTCACTCACCGCTCACAGTAGGATGCTGCTTCAGGCAGATGCGGCTGCATGAGGTCCTGCGCTTGCTGGGGGACCTCGGCAGCGGCATTTGTCAAAAAATTTTAGTGTCTTGTGTCCGGGTGTCAGCTGGCCTGAAACTGGACACAGGACCCCAAAACTGGACATGTGGCAACCCTAAGACCTCACGAATGAGGATAACACCGGGTGAACCTCCCCCTGTGCTGTCAGCAAAGCCCCTGCAAAGTCTCTGCCTGTGCCCCCAGAAGTTTCATTAAAGGGTAACTACATGCAAAATAAAAAATTACATAGGATGCAAAATGTCAAAAGCATTAGCACAGCCGTCCCCCTGTAACCCAGTTTTATTACCTGTTGATCCCGCCAGTAGATACAGTGTTTTTTCACTTCCTATAACAGGCCAAGCTGTCCAGCAAAGGCGACAGTTACAGGAAGTCCCAGTCTCAGCTGCTAAATGGCCAGAGCAGCTGTCAATCACCCAGCAGGGGGGCACTAACAGCAATGGATTGTATGAAAGCGTAGGGTGACCACTCTATTAAAATGAGAACTATGGGGTTAAGGCTTTTCCCCATAGTTCTCCTTAGGGTAACGGGAGGACACACACTAGCGTCCTCCCGTCACCCTAAGCTCAGTATACCGTGAGCTGTAGCTCGCGGTATACTGAGACGCCGCAGCTGAAGCGGATCCCGACAATTATGTCTGGATCCGCCCAGCTGCGTGAGTGACAGCTGTCTCTGCCAATCTAGAGGCAGAGCCAGCTGTACCCGCCCCCTCTCCCGTCCGAACCGCCAGTCAGCGCTGGCGGAGCGGGGAGGGGGGAATCCAGCCCCTCCCCCTGTCACGGCAGAGAGCCGTGACAGGATCGAGAGGTGAGCGAACGCCGGTATGTGTTGGCTCACCTCCCGATCTACTGAGCAGCCCTGT